TGTACTTACTTTGATATCAAATACTCATTTAAGATATCATGAATTGATAAAATACCATTATTCAGAACTATGACAAACAGCATGAGTTTTGATGGGGAGGAAAAAAAAACACGTTCACAAGCAATTACAACCTCTTTAGGCAAAAAAGAAATACCATTTGATAAAGGGACACAAGACAGACACATGATCACAGGGTAAAGTCTGAGAGGAATACAGAGGGGGAAGTTTTCACATCCACAGAATAAGAAATGAATGTGTTTGGACAAAGGCAAAGGCTGATTCCAGTAAACAAATTAAAAAATAGGGCTTTTTTCCCTTCTTTAGAAAATTAAATAGAAGATCAACACGTGCACACAAGATTCCACTGTTCCTTGCTTTGTCTTTAAGAACAATCTGTAAACTCCCTTGATGTTTCCTGCCCTCAGCCTTGCAGCATTCCTCTTCCTGCCCTCGGTGAAGAACAAGTAAGAGAAATAAGCGCACAGGCAGAGGAGGACAGCATTTTCCATGCCTCAGAGAAGCAGATCCATATTTAGCATGACTTACACCGTCTGTACCACCACCTTGAGCAGACCTAGAACACAGCACTTCAGAAGCATTAGAAGGCAACAACCTACTTTCTCTATATAGGGCCATACCACATAAATTAAATGTTTGTTAAAGGCCATAAAAACAGGTAGTAAACCATCACTGCCTGAAATATAAGATCAGGTAGGAGGACTGGTGTTTGCTCCGGGTAATGGTTGCGGGTAATGGTTGAGTCATAGTTTCAGTTTTTAAGAACACGATCAGCACCAAAAGATATGTGGTGAAAACAAAAAGGCTGTGATTTTGTAGACGTGCATGTGGACTTTGTTGTTACTAGAGGGGAGGGGCAAGAAGCGTGGAAGAGGGGTAGAGTGGCAGAGGGGTTGATTTATTTTTCAAATTCATATTTATGAACATAAAGAGAAGAGCTGTCAGGAGCACATATGCCAAAGCCCAAAGAGCAGCCAGACCTGCCTCTTCCCGTCTGGAGTGGCCAGACACAAAATGACATCTTGCAATCTAGGAAAAATCAACACAGTCAGATATATGGAGACTAGTGAAAGAAAAACCAGTTCCAGAAATGTATGGTTACATATTATTAATAGTTTAAACTTGGAGTTTTAATAAGTGAGGGATCGTGAGATTCTGGCCAATCAAAACCAGAAAACTGAGAGGCAACCCTTTAAAAAGCTGTCTCTAATGTATCTTGCCAGTACAGACATTAAGTACAAGAGAAATTTAACTCACGTATCGAACAGCAAGGAATGAGAAAGTGGCTCTGCTTAGATCAGTTGCAAGGTTCTAAGGGATCAAGTGAGGAAACACTGCCAGTGTGACATGCCAGGATCTATATCCAAGGCAGGCTCTGGAGTTGCATTTCCAGGCTCGCATCACACTAGAGAGACAACAGTCCCTCTCTAGGTCACTGATAAGACTGCATCTAAAAAGCCTTATTTTTCTCCCACTGAGATGAACAGGCTGAATAGCCAGCCAATAGGTAAACAGACAGTTAAAGAAACTGACTAAAAATAAATATCTTCAATAGTTGGAATACTATGAATGTTAATTCTGACTCTTCTACAGGTTCAACTCAAGTAAGGATTTACAGGAGGTAAGTTCAAAATAAATAAATAAAAGATAATTTCACTCACTGTGCTGATAAAATTACGGTCTGGCCAATCTAGGATGTTTATGTTCAACAGCAATTAAAATGAATGACTGGCCGAGTGAAACACACAAATACACACACACACACACACACACACACACACAATCCTGAACTTATGAGAGAGAATGTGGGAGCAAGAAAAGATTGACGTCAAGGCAGTTAGCTACCTCAATATATGATGATTACACCCCAGATAGCTACATGAAGCTTGACAAGGTACAGGGCCAGCTCACATAAATTATTTTACCCCATTCTTGTAAAAACCATGTGGAAAGGTCAGAACAGGTATCATTATCCCCATTTTGCAGATGAGAAAGCTGAGTCTCCAGTTACCTCATCTGTGACTGGTTTTGTCAGCCATCTGAGTCCTAATACAGAAAACGTTCTTACATTGTGATATCAAGAGATAACACCTACATACTCAATGAATAAACTTCAGTACATTTTTGGGCTTCCATGCTTCAATTTCCCCAGATATAACACAGATATGACACATTTTAAGGTGCTGTTTTAAGTGAGTGATCAAACTGAAAGAACACAAGTTGAGATTTACAGGAAGCTCTAGAAGTTTAGATTTTCAAGAGGGTCACCACATAGCATTTTGATACCTTAACTCCAAAAGCTAAGGAAAAAGTCACAAATGATGAAAACATTCCTAAAACTGTGGCCTAAACAGAGCAGACCAGATTGAGCACACGCTCTATCAAAGATCTAAGGGTCTGTAGTCTTTCAAATTTTGCTTTTGAAGTTTATCACTACATTAGGAACCACATGATAATATCTAAAAGTGGAAACTGGCCTAAATAGTGTGATTTTTAAAATATATTTAACAGGATAGTTTACAATTCTGAACATGTATTTGTTTTATACTTTCAAAGCACTTTTATTTAAATTTCTTGAATGAAATAAAAGTTCATCATTTAAAGTAGAATGTAAGAAAAAAATGCAACAAAGAATACATTTCCAATCTCTGACTCTATGTTTTTGCAACAAATCTGATTGCCATAAAATCTGATGATAGTGGAATAACAAATGACTTAGGAGAGGCAGAAAACAGAAATTTTTTAAAAAACAAATTTTTAACTTATGGAGAAAGGCAGATCCACAATCTGAACTCTGGGAATAAAAGGCATTCTTGGCATATAGACAAATCCCAAGTGGCAAAATTTTGAGATATAATCCTGCCAGAATTGCATTTACTAGGATTGCACATTCTTTTACTTAAATATAAAGTCAAATGTTTTGCTTTGTCAATAAAGAAAAGCCAGGCTTATTTAAATTACTTAGCACTGGACGTCTAAGAACACAACTGTTCATTAGAGATACCTGAACTCCAGGGATCAGAAAAGCTCATCTACACATTCTGCTGGAGGATATCTAATATTTATTTGGTGAGTAAAGAGTAAACAACATATCAAAGGAGAAAAAGGGAAAGTTTCTTCACTGATAAAAACATATCCATCAGCTGTTGAAACTACCGGCAAATTTGGAATACATGTAAGTTTCATCATGCAACTGGTAGAATTTCAACTTTCAATTAACTACATGCCTTTTCAAGGGTAAGCTACACTGCAGAAATCAATACCCACTTCCAACTTGCCTACATACAACGTCTTACATCAAGCACGCTTCCAATACTAGCCAGCACTACCTGTCGAGACGCTTGCACTAATGCTTACTCCAGAAAGAATTAAAACTAAGCCAACGGTTCACTCATTGCACAGAGCTGTAGCCCTCTGCAAACATCACCTGTATACATAACTTTCCCTGTACTCGCTGCATTTCATAATCTGCCTAAGTACACATCACAGGCTGCCATCTCAATCTGCTGTCCAACTCCTTTTATAGAGTTCTAAAAGGGGGCGGGAGGGGGGAAAGAGGACGCAAGGGAAATAAACATTACTCCGGAAATCAACAATCTGGGTTTATTTCCAGGAAACCAGGCAGCCACAACAACGAGAGAAACCGACAGTGCAAAGTTCGTCCGTTCCCCGCGTCCCATGGCCTCAGCCAGGAGCGCGGCTGCCGCTTCCCGCGTCTTCTGCAGCTCCCCTCGGCCACCTCTGCGTCTCCATCTGCACCGAGAACCAAGGCAGCCAGACGCTCGCCAGCCAAGCTGAGCAGGGCGGACTGGCCAGAAAAGTTGTCTGGACCGGCGGGAGGCAGACGATCGCCCGGAAGCCTGCTCCCCAGCGTCCACCTGGTGAAACTTCAGAGCCCCCAGAGGAGAGAAGGAAAGAAGCTACCGACTGGAAGGATGACAAAACTGGCAGGGAACGGAGGACGAGACAGGGCGAAACGGGGTTTCACGGACTTGTCGAAGTGCTTTTACTAGAACCCACTAGAACCCACAAGGGCTAACTGGCGAGACCTCACTGCATGCCTCCTCTGGGGTTCTCTTGGCGGCGGGTGGCAGTCGTTCACAGCCCCCAGCAGGCAGGCCGGCTCCGGGAGGAGCTGCGCCAGCTTCGCGGTGGCTCTGCGGGAGGAACGGGCTCCCATCCCCGCGGGTCAGGCTTCCCCGACCCGGCGCCCAGACCTCGCTGCCCAGAACCGCTCGGTGTGGATCCTCAGAATCGTGTTTCAAAACATCCTCCAGGCTCTGCCAACACACACACGGAACCTGCTCCGCGCGGTGCCCTAACCCACAGGGCGAGCCCAACGAGCAGCCCAGCGCTAGAGACTGAGAAAAGGACTGGGGGAGGGACGGGGAAGTAGTTAGACAATAGTCAGGGGAGGTTATTCCCGGGACAAAAAGCACCTGGCAAAGCGCGCCGAGGTCGGTCCCTTCGAGTCTCCACCTTTCTGACAATGGCTTCCCGAGGGGGAAAAAAACATTTTTTTTTTTAATATGTTCTGAAGGCGGAGAGCTACAAGCCCGCACCGCGAGCAACAGAGTAGCCTTCCCCCAGAGTCGTTAACTACTTTTTCTTTCTCTCTTCCCCCGCGCGATGCAGCCAGCGCCGGACGCCGAGGCTCCGGGTTTCCCAAGAAAAGAACCGCCGCCCTCACTCCCGCACCGCCCGGCCCGCCTGCGCCCGGGGCAAGCCTCCGCCGGGAACAATGGGGCGCAACGAGGAAAGTTACCTGCGCCACGGCGCCCACTCGGGCGCCCCGCGTCCCACCTGGCACAAAGTCGGGGCACCTCTCTCCGTCTGCCCGTTGCCCCCGCCCCCCGGGGGGGCGCGAAAGCTTCCCCCCAAACCTTTGCCCACCGGTCCTGGAGAGGAGCCCGATCGCTCCCCGGGCAAGCCCCAGGTCGGGGGCACTCATCGGGGCTCCGCACGCCCCCTCGGCCACTCACCTGCGGAGAACTGGCCTTGGGCCGACCCCAGGAGCGGCCAGGGGGAGAGGAGCAAGAGCGCCACAAAAGCGGGCAGCGCCGCGGCCGCCGCATCCATGTCGACTTTGGGAGAAGTTTCAAGCCGCTCTGCAAAGAGCTGCCGGGAGGCTCGCAGCGAAATCCACCGCTGAGGGGCCGGCCAGGCCTGGCGGGGTGAGCGCCGGGAGTGGACAGCCGCGCGCCCGCACTTTTTCCTGCTCGGCGGGAGCCAACTACCTCTGGTGCGCCGGCGTTGCCGGCCGGCCGCGGCGGCAGCTCTCCATACTCGGCAGAGGCTGCTCCCGTTCGCCAAGAGTTACTTTGCTCGGGGAGGGACAGGGGCGGAGCCGGGGGTGACGTCGCCCCGCGGGCTCCGGGCGCTTCGGAGGAATGCAGGCTCGGGCGCGGCGCCGCCGCCGCCTCCTGCCGGAGAGACACGCGCCAAGCCCGGCCGCGCGCCCCGCGCTCCGCGCTCCGCGCCGCCTTTGTTCGCCGGCCGCCCGCCGCCGCTCGCGGGTAGCTGGCGGGAAAGGGGACCCGCGCCGTTGGCTGCCCTGTTAGAGCAATTGCAGTTTGAGAAGCGGGAGTTGGGTCAGCAGTGTGGCCGATCCCCTGGGGGCGAGCGCAGAGACATCCCGTCGCCCACGCAGAGGTATCTCGGGGTTCCGTCCCCAAGACGAAGGTCCCAGCGCAAAAGAAGGACGAGTGTAGAAGCGCCCAGAGGAAACACCCACCTGCATCGCAAACTCTGTTCCCTATTGATGTCGTAAGGAATAAGACACCCCACCCCCGCAGAAAACTTATCGTTCCTTCCTCATTTAAAAATAAAACTTGAACCAAAATAAACGTTCAGTAACTTTCCAATGTGAACAGCTGGCGTGTCTTTTTTTCTGGTTTATCATTTGCCGAATATTTGGATTTACTCTCTGCTTCACTGACTTTGCTTATACTTTTGAAATCTTCGGCCTCTTTCCACTTCTTCCCTCTGGAAGAACCTAAGAACTGCAAGGCTTATTATCCTTGCCTTTCACAGGGTCTGCTGGAGTGGCAAATGGTTTCTGTTAGGTTTTTAATATCTAAGAACTATTTAAGACGTTAAGTATTTAACGAAAGAACTTAATGCGGACAATGAAAACAGCAACGAATGATTTCGTACGCAGGAAAATAATGCTATATTATGACAGTAAAGTATTTTACAGTTTGCTGCTTCTTCCGCAGCTTGAAGTGGTTTCACCATATGCCACACTTGCTTGCTTCTATGAAAAGACTGAATAGAGTATACTTTATTCATTTTTGTAAAATAGCAAATAATATAGATGTCACAATTGAAGAAACAATTTTTATTCAGAATTTTGATATCATATATACAATTCCTAGAACAATGGAATCTGTTGATTGACATCTGTCAGTTCCTTAGACATCTTTAGCTTTTGTAAATCAAGACAGTGTGACGTTCAATTTAATATAACATTCACACAATTTGCCAGGACACATTCCTTTATTCAGATTAAGTATATGCAGTTAAAGACCCTCTGCAATTAAAGACCCCCCTTCTCCCCCCCCCCAAAGTGGTAAAGAATCCACCTTCCAATGCAGGAGACTCAAGAGACACAGGTTCCAACCCTGTGTTGGGAAGAATCCTGGAAGAAGGAAACGGCAACCTGTTCCAGTATTCTTACCTGGAAAATTCCATGGACAAAGAAGCTTGGCGGGCTACAGGGATTGCAGAGTCAGACAGGACTGAGCACGCTCACTTCTCTCTTCTCTTCTATTAAAGACCAAACTTATGATAGAGGTCATTTTATATACATATAAAGCAAGGAAAATATATCAGCAAGAAAAATGCTTCTTTAAAATTTTCATAAAGATAGATGCTTGATTAAACATAATTGGGCATCTTATAGCTGGCTTCTTGACACATTGACCCTTGTCAATTCAATTCAGCATTAAGTTCATTCTTCTTTAGGGTGCAATGTATAATTTTTTAAGTCATCAACCTATAACTCAGCACATCAATGTTCCTATTACTTTTATTGAAGAATATTCCTGAATATTAGGTAACAAAAACCTGAAGGACATACATTTTTCTTTTAAAGGACTTAGCAGAACTTTGTGAAACTTAGCAGCAATGTGTCTCAGGAAAAACAAATGTCCCAGCACCACCACCATCCATATACTAATTAATCTCTTCTTCTGTTCCTGAAAGAAAGATGAAGGAAGTTCATGACTTGATAGGTTTGTTTAAACACACAGAAAGCTTGTTTAAAAATTGACATACAGTGCCGGGGCAAAGTGCACATAGTTCTAGCTTGCCCACTCCTTGAGTCAACTAATAGAGCATTCATCTCACTTTCTCCATCTTAGAAGTAATAACAATAACAGGTAATGTTTACAGAGTGCTTGTAATGTACTAGGCACTGGTTTAATACATAATATCTCATTGAGACATTAAGATATACAAAGTCTCCTTGAGTTCAGACAATAATCCTGTGCATGCATGCATGCTCAGTGCTCATTCGTGTCCAACCCTTTTGGCCCCATGGACTGTATCCCGCCAGGCTCCTCTGCCCATGGAATTTTTCAGGCAAGAACACTGGAGTGAGCTGCCATTTCCCACTCCGGGGGATCTTCTCCACCCAGGTCTTGAACCCGTGTCTTCTGTGTCTCTGGAGTTGGCAGGTGAATTCTTTACCACTAGCACCACTGAAATGAGGAAACAAAGTTAGAGATTAAGTAATTAATTGAACAGTACATATATGAGTAAGAAGTAGGCAAGGGGGAAGCAAAGACAGAGGAGGAAATCCTCAAATGGAATCAGCAAGCATGCTTCTCACTAAAAATCAAAGAAATGCAATAAGATTTGTGGGTAAATAATCAGTACTTTTGTCCTTAGTTGTCACTACTGCTGGCCACAATACCTAATGCTGATTACAGTATATTGAAATGATTTGAGTAAAAGATATGTGTATCTTTCACACATTACTCAGCAAATATTAGGAATTTACTAGATCTTTGTTCATTTGCAAGAATGGATGAGTATAGCCATCAAACAATAGAAGTGTAAACTTGGTATAACGAAAAAAAAAGATGGTCAACCTGTTCAAAAACTAAAATGTTCATATTTTTAGCTATTCTAAGTAATCCAAAATATGGTAAATGTTATGGACACAGATATTTATCACTTACAAAAGAGAAAACTGGAAATAATACAAAAGTGGTGGGCTTCCGTCATAGCTCAGTTGGTAAAGAATCTGCCTTAAAAAAAAAAATAATGAAAATGAAGAATCTGCCTGAAAGCAGGAGACCGCAGTTCGATTCCTGAGTTGGGAAGATCTGCTGGAGAAGGGGTAGGCTACCCACTGCAGTATTCTTGAGCTTCCTTTGTGACTCAGCTAGTAAAGGATCCGCCCACATATGCGGAAGACCTGGGTTTGATGCCTGGTTTGGGAACATTCCTTAAAGAAGGGAAAGGCTACCCACCCCAGCATTCTGGCCTGGAGAATTCCGTCCAGGGGGGTCTCAAAGAGTCAGGTACGCCTGAGGGACTTTCACCTTCACTTTCCCCAACCACAGGCAGATAAGTATTATCTGGACTGAATATTTCACAGCCTTTAGAAATGAAGTGTTTTTTTTCTTTTTTTTTTAAAGGGTAAGTTGAAAAGTGGAAAAATATTTCTGATAAAATATTAAGTTAAAAAGATCAGAAGTCAATACAAATATATCTTCCGTCTGGGGAGATGAAAGCGTTCTGGAGATGAATGGTGGCAATGGGTGCCCAGCAGTGCAAAAGCACAGAACGCCGTGGAACTGCGCTTGAGGACCGCTGAAGTGGTCGTTCTTATGCCGCACGTGTTTACCGCATGCAAATAATCAGAGACAAGGTCAACAGGTACTGATTACAACTAAGCGGGGGGAAGGCTGGAAAAAAACCAAAAACCATCATGCTGATGTAATTAGAAGTAAATGTAGAATAATGAAATTTTATGATTGCTGTTCCCTGTTTTCCAACCCTTTTCGATATGTGGTTTTAGCATGTCCTTTTAAAGAGGACAGGCTTGCATTCTGATTGCAGATTTGCCACTGAGTAACACTAATCATGAATCTAGATCTATACTTGGCATAATGTTTTCTGTAGAATGTCAGTTCTATCAAAATTTAGCGAGTGTAATTGGAAAATATGGGTCTCCAGATCAAATAAGCTTGGAGAACTCTGGATTGAGCAAAGTTAAACAGATTCCTTTACTATAGCTAGCCTTTCTCTTGTAGAACTTTTCCATGGTTACCGGGATGGTATTGGGCAAAATCATCTGTCAGAGGGAGGAAAAGAATACATTGTTTCTCAAAGTTTTGGACTATATAACTCTTTAAAAGAGAAGTGTTTCTCAGGACTAGGTTTCCAAGGAACAGAATTTGGGAAGCACTGCTTTAAGCATCTTTTAACGTCTGAGGCTAATCAATCAGATTTTTCAGAGGACTGAATGAAATACAGTATATTTTAATATATGTAAATTGTTTAGGTATAAATTTATTTATAGCAATGGATATGAAGGGCCCAGATGATATTAAATGCTGAGTAAATGTTCTTTTCCACTTATCACTTATTCCACTTAAGGATTATGGACAAACCTGTACTCAGAAGAAGCAAGGTTTTATTTACCCAATGACAGATCACGAGTATACCCACATCATGCATTGATAAGCAATTAGACAATATTCTGTTCGTTAATAACAATTGATTGCTTACATGATTCTTTCTGTTTGTAATGCCTATTCACATGATCTCAACTTATCCTCACTCCAACCCTGTGAAGCAGATAGAGTAGGTAGCGTTATTAATTTCACTTAGACTTTGGAAAACCAAAGTCTAGAGGGATTAAAATACTTGGCCAGTTTGATGCTGGTCAGTGGCAGAGCTGTCACACTGGCCCGCATATTCTAATTCTGAACCTTATTTTCCCTCCACCCCCCTCCACACCTGTGTACCTAGTTCTCATCTCTAAAAATATTCATTTGAATCAGATGCCAAAATTCTCAATACCAATTCATCAGATAGAGCTTCTTAGACTGCTGGATGAAAAT